CAAGCCTTTCAAGCCCTGAGAAAACTGGCGCTGGGGAAACAAGGAAGGCAGGGGATGCGGCGAAGCAGGGAGGAATCCCCAATAAAGCGTATTAGTAGTGTATGGAACTAGGAAACTAACCTGCCACATGCAAGATAACAACCATCTCTCCATGTAGCTCTTTCTGTTCATTCTCTTTACTTGCGACCAAAAAAGAAGCAGTGCCCCCAGACCCGTGCCGCGAAAAATTAAACGCACCTTTCAATTGCTCCAGAAGAAAGGCAAAAGGAAGCAACTTCCACTGGCTGTTCCAAAACCCCCTGCCAATAGTTAGCTTTGCGTACTTGAGTGGCAACTGCTGAACCCTAACAACCTAAAAACCTAAAGAACCGGATGGCCGGGCTTGCCACCAAGGTTCCGCGTCTCAGTTGTTCAGTGACCCTGGAAAAAAAGGGAAGCCTTTTTGGGGAAGACCTGGTTTAATAGAGCAGCCACCAAAAACAAAAGGGGAAAAAGGGTACCACTGGACGACTGAGCCCACAAAAGGTTACCAATCCACCCGGGCGTATGCCTTCGGGATTGGGGGGTTGTGCGCACATGTGGTACCCGCATGTTGCTTTCGCTTCTGGTTTGGAGGTTTGCTTTTAAGCTGAGGCGTGGTGTTTAAAGAGTACCACCTACCTTCACCCACACCTGGCCCGCCCACTCAGGGCCCCTGCCGCAGGCGAGCTGTGCTTGTCCGAGCTGCCACGCTCCTGTCCAGTGGATTTAGCCGTGCACGCCTAGACATGGATCTCCAAGGGGGCCATGAGAGGCCTACCCTTACATAGGAGAAGCCTAGGATAAGCCCTTTATAAGGCCCTAGGTGTGGGGCCAGGAGTACAGCTGGGTGAAATCATGTTGTCCTCTTTCCGGCTAGTGCATGCGTCTGCTATGTTCACCCGGATCTCGATTGAGAAATCTTTGTTTTGCTTTAGCTTCCCGTCGGTGTACAGCAACCAAAAGGGGTTCCCAATTTCGGACATGCGACCATTTCCCTTCAGTATTCACATACCCCATATATGGCTGGCATGTATCGTGTCGCTTTGGACACCTGGCCCAACACTGGTCAGGGCATACTCATTGGCCTTGTATGTATGTCTATTCAACTTTATGTACAAGCATCTCATGATGTCATGGGACCGTACCTCAAAGCTCGCAGTGACTCAGGAGGAAGCCGCTGGCCCGATTCCCGTGCATAGCCTATCTATACATGTGTATATAATGTGTATATATATATACACCTAAACATATGAAGGTTGAGTTTTTGATCGGCCCTGCTCCCAAAATCCCGTGAACGCGGTTTAGGGGGCAAATCATGTACTGATTCAGCGAGAAAAGCCACTGGTTCCTCCACTGGTGATGAAAAACGTGACTGGCCGTGGACTATTCACTTGGTTGACGTTGGAAGGGGAGCAACAAATCTAATTTTTAGCAGTTACGTGGTTGGATTTCAACCACTAAACCACAATAAGCTCAAAAATGATTCAAATGTTTCCCAACAACCATGAAGTTCAGGGCATGGCTTTTTATGGCTCTCAGCCCCCCCGAAGCAAAGCTCTCTGGCATGGAGCCGAATGGGTGGGTTTGGAGGTGCTCCGGGGGGAGGATTCTGGGGGGGGTTCTGTTCTGTTTCCCTCTACAAGAACTAGGGCTTTCAAATCAAATCCAAACCTATCCAAACTACCAAAGGGCTACCTGAAAAGCCACGAACGAACGAAAAACCACATCCCCAAATGGACCCTAGGCGACTATCAATTTGGTGCGAACATTCCGAACCTCGCACTCGCAAAACGTGTTCCATTTCGGTCCTTAAGGAAGTGCTCGTAGTCCTTGGCGTACTTGTCCATGAAGCCCTTCATGCCGTCAGCCGCATCTCTGCCCTCGCTCTTCATGTACTGCGTGTAGTCCTGCAACATGCGCTCGCTGCTTTGCTGCCCATACGGTCAAACCCTTGTGGCTCATGATCGTAGTTCCCTGGAAAGCCTTTACAGGTTGATGTCAATGCCTACCAACCCCAAGTAAGCAGGTCGTTCGACCACGGCACATGTTCCTGTACACTGGGCGGGCATGATCCGGAGTCGCTCAGGAAAAAACACCAACATTCGTGTTGCAGGACTTTCCTAAAAGCCATGGCAACACATGGGGTACTTGTTTGGTTCAGGGACCCCTAAACTGGTTGTGTTCCTCTTGGTTCCCTTCAAAATCCCAACCAAAACGAGGTCCGATTCCAACAAAAGAAAAAACACCCAACTATTGCCAGATTCCTTTGTGCGGGATTGATTTAAATCAGCCTTTCATTTTCGCTGTCATGTGGTTTCCTGTTTTGGAATTCCTTAAATTGATTCAACAAACCAACACAAATTATCCGTTTTCAACTCTTTACCACGAGTCATGAACCGTCGAGCCAAAGCTCGAGTACACTTTACAGCTCGACACGAAAAGGGTTTTAAATGTCCATGGTCGAGGGTGGGGTTCTGATGACCCAGTGGAAAGTACTCGACCATTTGAGTGTCCGAATTCAATATTCTAACATATATACATGTATATGTATGTGTATATGTATATATATATATCTATATGTATTTTGTCAAACCTCTATGCTCTATCTTCTAGTCCGTAACTGTGCTAGTCACCAGAACGTTTGGATATTTCAATCAACCAACAGGCAGTACAAAGCTGGGTCTCGCTTTCTGACGGGTAACGGCGGGTGACCGAAGCTGTCCTTGTTTCCGAGAGAACCAAACAGGGCGACTCTAAACCTTGAACAACCCCTGACTGTTTCTTGGGGAACCCTTACTTCAGATTTTGGGAACCCCTCCTTTGACGTACGTTGGCTGTGTTTTCATCCTCTAATCAATCTAAGCAATCTGAAACATACGCTTTTGGTGTTCAAGCCCCTTTTCCGTGGTTTTGAAGGGAAACGGAAAGAACCTTTGTTTTGCCATTTTGTTGGATCAATATTCAAATCCTAAACAAAGGCGTGCGAAAACAAAGATGTGCATGGCTAGAGCAAGGCCCAGTTGTAGAACTCATATTTCTTGTTTGCTTCACTTTGAGTCACTGGTAAAACGCAAAATGCATCGTAAGTCTACCCCAGTATCGCTGCTTATAAGTTTGAGACATGCAATTATGGACGGCCCCCATATTGTGTATATATATAATATTTATTCTATATATATATATATATATCATACTTATATGTATTATATATATATATATATATTATGCTATGGATGTCTATCTTTCGGACGTCCCTGGGCTCCCAGCGCCTCGAAGTACTTCTGCAAGTCCCCGGCCGCGTCGGCGCTTTGGAGCTTGACGTAGTGCTTGAACTGGGCCGCCTGGCCGGTCATGTACTTCTCGAAGTCCTAAGGCTTCGTCTGTCTGTCTCTCTCTGGCTGTCTGTGTGTTTCAGGGTTGTGGGGAATGGAATCCACCTCTGTGATACAACAAAAAGGGTTTCCCAAAGACTAACACCCCACATGCAGGGGGAGATTCCCGAAAGTATCACAGAAGTGGGAATAAACCCCTTGATTCCACAACCCTGGTGTGTTTTGACCGGGTTCAAAGTGAAAAGAGGAGACCACCTGAAAACCCGCAGTCCGTTTCGAGCCGCTTTCCTGGGTTTAAAGGGAAAAGAGGAGATTGCCCAACGCAAACAACGTCCGTTGCTTTGCGCCCTCAAGTTTTGAAGCACCTGAGCGTAAAGAAGTAACCAGACGGTCGCACCCAGAGGGCCCTCAATCGCTCAATCGCGAAAACGGTCCTTGGAGGCAGCAGCGCCCTTGTCCTTCATGTGCTGCCGGTCCTGGTGATTTGTTTGGCCCTTCGGTGGACAGACTTCGGTGAACACTTTCAGGCATGGATCAAAATTCAATCACCAGCAAACCGTAGGTTTTTGTCCTTGTTTCCATTCATCAGACTTCCATTTCGGGCAGCTGTTTTCGACCCACACCCTTATGTCTACCCACTTCGGAGGTTCCTTAATGAAGGTCACAGCCCGACGGGAAACTGGGCGTGTAACTCGAGTAACTCACTTGCCCAAAGGACCCAGAAATAAAAGGTTAACCTTTTGGCACCTCCACTAAAAATGGACCAAAACGGGAAAACCAAAAGGTTAAAAGGTCGGCTTTGGGCAACTGAGTTAACGTAAAAAGGACTCTGCCTGTGGCGTTCAATTAGAAACCACAGGAAGCCAACCAGTTTGGTCTCCCTGGACGCCCAAAGGCAAGCCTGGTAAACAAAGGTCTGGACCACTAGGTCCTCCAGTAGAGAGAGGTTAGAAGAATGGTACCCTTTTTTTTCTGTAGTCTATTTTAGAAGGGGAACCCTGCCCCAAAAAAGAGCAACAGGGCAGTGCTGGGGGACCTAGTAACCTTAGGGATGTCTGGACCCTAGGGAGGTTTGGCCACATGCCATCTCCTACAATACCGTACACGTGAACCGGCTCGGGTTTACTCTACATGGCATTTGTGGACTGAGCGAAAAACTGTTTTTTGCAGACCCCCAGTAAAAATGAACAGAACCAAAAAACTAAAAAACCAAAAAAGCATGCCAAGAACAGTGAAGAATAGACTGTAGTAGGTACCCGGCCATTTCAACCTTTTCAACATGATGTAGGGTTGGATTGGGGTTGGTGTAGGTTGTTTCCCCAACCCCCCCCAAAGTGGTCCTGTGGTTGGGCTGTTGTGGTTCATAGGGTTGATTTACAGCTTATCTCCACTGTTTGCCACCAGGCAAACTACCCAAAACGATCAAGTCCTCAGACAAGTCATTACCAAACTTGACAAGAGCCGCTGGTAAACTTGACAAGATCCCTACCTTACAAGGGGGTTCCTGGAACCAAATCCAGGGAAAATGGGTTGCCAGAATCGAATCCAATTCCATTTACAGACCTGACGCTAGCTCCTGAGCTCCCTGTTTAGAACCAAACTTGGATACACCCAGCTCCCAAGCGGCTCCCTTCCAACCAACAGCTAGCAATGCCATTTCAGGGCCTGGCGACAAACCGCGTCGGCCCCACTTTCGGCCTCAGCAAGCTTCTGCTTGGCCTCCTCCTTGTCCTTCGTCTCGGCCAGCAACACCTTACGTGCACCGGTCCCTATGCAACAGTCATGGCTCCCTTCATAGGAAGGCCGTGTCACCTCCCTTCATGGGAAGCCGCATCACTGTTGTCTAAATTTTCTAGGGGGTCCATCAGGGGAAGGGTGACCATGGCTTACATGGCCGGCTCGTCTTTGTTTAAGGCTCGGCAGCCCAACTTTTTGTGGGTGTCAAGAGAAACCGCAAGGACAACTGGAGTCGTTTTTCTTTGAGAGGGGTCGTTCCCCTAAAACGACAGACCCATATGCAAGAGTTTGTTCCCAGACAATCCGCCTCCAAAATGGATGCAACCCAGGAGCAGCGAGAAGAGCGGCTGGCAGACAACATCAAACAACAAATGAGTATCACATTCTCTTGCAGGTGTGAGGTAGGAAATGACGGAGTCCAGGTGTTGGGAATAAACCGTTTGGGGATTCCCCTCAAGGGATTGTGTATGGGGTCATTCCCTCATTCCCGGCTGAGCACAAGCAAATTGTCCAATCAACAGCTGGAAGCTATGGATTTGGTCGGTAGGCCCAGATAAGCTTGTTCGGGGCAGCTTTCAGGCAGGGTTCAAAAGAAGGGTTCCGGGGGTTCCAGGGCTGTGGGGATGTGGGCTTGTTCATATAGACTTTGAACTAAGGCACAACGGCGTTTCCAGCAGTATTGCCCTGCATGTACTTCTGGTAGTCGCCGCCCTGAGCGCCACCCTGGGATCCGGCTCCGCCCATGTACTTCTGGTAGTCGCCCGAGTACTGCTTCATGTACTTCTGGTAGTCGCCGCCCTGAGCGCCACCCTGAGCGCCACCCTGGGATCCGGCTCCGCCCATGTACTTCTGGTAGTCGCCCGAGTACTGCTTCATGTACTTCTGGTAGTCGCCGCCCTGAGCGCCACCCTGAGCGCCACCCTGGGATCCGGCTCCGCCCATGTACTTCTGGTAGTCGCGGAGTACTGCTTCATGTACTTCTGGTAGTCGCCGCCCTGAGCGCCACCCTGAGCGCCACCCTGGGATCCGGCTCCGCCCATGTACTTCTGGTAGTCGCCCGAGTACTGCTTCATGTACTTCTGGTAGTCGCCGCCCTGAGCGCCACCCTGAGCGCCACCCTGGGATCCGGCTCCACCCATGTACTTCTGGTAGTCCATGTACTTCTGGTAGTCGCCGCCCTGAGCGCCACCCTGGGATCCGCCTCCGCCCATGTACTTCTGGTAGTCCATATACTTTTTGTAGTCACCACCCTGGGCATTGCTTTGGGTTGAAGTATTTGAGGAAGAGCTGAGCTGGACGTACTTCTGGTAGTCGCCGCCTTGAGCGCCACCCTGGGATCCGGCTCCGCCCATGTACTTCTGGTAGTCGCCCGAGTACTGCTTCATGTACTTCTGGTAGTCGCCGCCCTGAGCGCCACCCTGAGCGCCACCCTGGGATCCGCCTCCGCCCATGTACTTCTGGTAGTCGGCGGAGTACTGCTTCATGTACTTCTGGTAGTCGCCGCCCTGAGCGCCACCCTGAGCGTCACCCTGGGATCCGGCTCCACCCATGTACTTCTGGTAGTCCATGTACTTCTGGTAGTCGCCGCCCTGAGCGCCACCCTGGGATCCGCCTCCGCCCATGTACTTCTGGTAGTCCATGTACTTTTGGTAGTCACCACCCTGGGCATTGCTTTGGGTTGAAGTATCCGAGGAAGAGCTGAGCTGAACGTACTTCTGGTAGTCGCCGCCCTGAGCGCCACCCTGGGATCCGGCTCCGCCCATGTACTTCTGGTAGTCGCCCGAGTACTGCTTCATGTACTTCTGGTAGTCGCCGCCCTGAGCGCCAGCCTGGGATCCGCCTCCGCCCATGTACTTCTGGTAGTCCATGTACTTCTGGTAGTCGCCGCCCTGTGCACCACTCTGGGATCCGCCTCCGCCCATGTACTTCTGGTAGTCCATGTACTTCTGGTAGTCGCCGCCCTGAGCGCCACCCTGGGATCCGGCTCCGCCCATGTACTTCTGGTAGTCCATGTACTTTTGGTAGTCACTGCCTTGGCTGGCCTGCTTCTCTGATTTCTTGTGATCATCCTTGGACTTTGCCAGCAAGTTGACAGGGGCAGCCTTCTTGTCGCTCTTTCCCGCGTCAGACCCAGACATGTACCTGAGCCGTTTCAAAACAACTCGCCCAACTCCTCTGCTGGACTTGAATCAAGCCAACATGAAGGGTGGCGCACGAGGGTCGGCAACAGGATTGTCATCCTTTGGTTTGGGGGTCGAGAATCCAATGTCAATGGTTTCCTCCTCTAGGAATGACTTCATCTTAGGAACACTCATTTCCTGAGTGGATGGGCCAACAAAAAGTCCGAACTTCTTGTTTACCACTAAAATGATCCAGACCCAAACAGTAACTAAAGTCCAGGAACTGGGGGAGGTATAACATAAGTGGCATTGCCCTCCCGCGCACTTTTTCCCAGCAATTTGGGTCCCTTTTCGGCGACACCTCTTGGTTTGGGCTTCGTCCGTTTCCCAACCTTTTTGACCTTTTGGTTTTCCCATTTTGGTCCATTTTAGGTAGAGACACCAAAAGCTGATCCCCTGCTATTTCTGGGTCCCTAAGTCGCAACCGAGCCAAACATTGGAGCGGGAGTGCCGGGTTGCGTAGTTGGGAGCCCGCGGGCCGGGCGGTGGTGCCTGGGGGACCATACCATGGGGGGGGGGGGAACAAGGGACACGGCATCATATATATAATATATATATATAAATACCTATATTATACCCATGTATATTATACTGAAAGGGGAGGGTTGAGTTGTTTCAAAACAGCAAGGACACTCCCAGAAAATGGGCGGGTGCAACATGTTGCAAGCAGCCACCAGGGCTGGCTTTGCTTTTGCCTTTCCGAAGCCACGGGGTCAAATGCAAGTTCGGGACAGCATGCAGCAAGATGTACTGGTAGGGGCCCCCAGCCAGGTGCCCCCTTTCTTACCCCTTTTTGGGTTGGGAGGGTTCCACTACTAAAACAGATTACAGAACAAAGGGTACCCTTATTCTAAGCTCTCTGCTGGAGGACCTAGTACTGGTAGTCAACAACATGGTGAGCCTTTTCTGCGACCCTCTTTACAGCCAGAAGATGTAGAATCTAGTGCAGCAATTTCAGATGGGTGACCTACCATCCGGAATCGGAGCATCTCCAACAGGGCGGGTTCCCGTTCTTGGTGGTGCTTGGTTTAATGAGGATTTCCATTTGACCCATCAGTTCGACCTTCGGAAGCGAGTTTGGCGCGTTCCTAAGGTTTGCTGGGCTCCAGGGTCGACACCGGCGGCCATTCAGGCGCGGTTGCTGGTCGGCATACTTGCCCGCATAGTCCTTTCGAGCGGAAGCTGAAACGCAAACAACCCAGCAACCCAGCTCCAACAAGAGGAGCCCAAGACACACCACGCTTCCCGAGTGAATTCGCCAACACCAGTCTAAACTGCGTCAAGGAACTCGAGGAGTCGCTAGACGACTCTCTTGAAATGGGCGTGAGAAGGAAATGCACCCCCGAAAAGCCAGAAGTGCTGCACACAAGCCAAGACTGCCAAAACGGTTGGCCGGGCCCGCCAGATTTGTTGGAAGCCGATCCTTCATGAAGTGCGTGTAGTCGCCGCCGCCGCCACCACCAGAGGAGTACTTGTCCATGTATTTCTGGTAGTACCTCGGCAGCAACTGTCTCAAACCTGGGCTCTCCAAGCCAGATATGTGTGTTTTCCCTTTCCTGCCTCTTGGGTGAACGCCATTTACATGGTTGTGTTTTTGCGCGCCACAAGCATCTTGGAAGGTGTTCCGATGTTCCCCTTCAACATTGATAGTCAGACTTCGGGACCAGCTGGGTGCGTCGTCCCTCTGCCAAAAGTTGCAGGTTTTGCCAGTCAGTGAGCTTTTCCATATCTTCTTTTCCGTCAAGCAGCAAAACAGCTAGGTCCTCCAGTAGAGAGGTTAGAAGAAGGGTAACATCAGGGTAACCAACTTTTTCTGGACGTCTATTTTAGTAGCGAAACCCTCCCACCCCAAAAAAGGGGTAAAAGAGCGGGCGCTTAGCTGGGGGACCTTGCCAGGCTTTACCTCGGAAAGGCAGGGTTCTTTTGGTGGGCCACGGCAGGCTCTCTAAAAGCTGCTGCTCATCCTTCTTGCTGTCCATGAACTGGTGTCGTTTTGCGGATTCCACAGGAAACTCAAGCATTGGCTTTTCCGATAGTTGAGTTGTTGAACTCATTTGGCCATGGGTCAAAATCCGAATCGTGCCCCCAGTGAACGTCCCAATTCAACCACTAAAACAGGAAGCCTAAAATGGGCGGTAAATTCACCAATCCCAACCAAAATGGGATCCCCTTGAACGGTTTTGACCACCGCAGCCATCTGCAACAAAAACACCTGGCCAGGGTTGTGGGATCACTCGGGGTTTCTCCAACCACTTCTGTGATACCTCCGGGAATCTCCCCCTTATGGGGGGGTAGGCTTTGGGGTTAGGCCCTTTCTGCTGGTCACAGAGGTGGTCCTGGACCTGGCAAAACCGGCCGCTTTCCCGGGGCTTCAGGTTGCTTTCCAGGGGTCATGGAGGGTATGGAGCGAGAGTTCCGGGCCATGAAGCGATCCGGGTCTCGAAACTCCCTTTGACACGCGCGCGACACAGAGACACACAGGCGGGACAGACGCGATGCTTTTTTGGTTTAAATAGAATCGCCCTTTCCAAAATTGAGCCTCAGACCAAAAAGGGAAGCCCACAGAGGTCGACACCGGCTGGGTGTATCCATCTTTTGGGGCGTGCGGTGTTGATTTGTGTCAAAGTCAAGCCGCATTTCAGCTTAAATGTAGGGAGTTGGCCACTTGGAGCTTCAAAAGCAAGATTTTGTAGCAGGTCCTGGAAGTGGCCGTTCTTGATTACAGTTTGTATGAAAGAGCACCAACCATTTTTGAGGTACCATGAAGAAACTTTGAGACAAACCCGATTCGGGCTCCGCTCTTGAGGGAACCCTTACCGGGGAAATGGGGTGGATTTTTCTATAATATGTTCCCTTCAACCCAAAACCCAAGACAGGCAACCCCAGTTCAACCCACCTGCGTTCAACTTCTGTAGTTTTAAACAGTGCGATGTGTGCAACATGTTAATCAATCAACTAGTATTTGTTTTTCTCCAAAAGCCACTCGCACATTATTTGGCAAGTGTGCCCAAAAAACAGTTCACAACTTTTTTGGCACCAGCAAACAAAACATGTCCTGCAATCAACAGTGTGTGTGGGCCTGTGGGTGTGTGAGTGTGTGTGTGCGTGTGTGGCTCTTTGTTTGGTGGGAAGCCTAACGTGGTGGTTTTTCCTTTCGGTCTTCCTTTAAACACACCCAACAAAAACGGGCACTCGAAAAAAGACACTCCCACGGTGGGTTGATTGAAATTCAAGGCACTTCTGATAGTCAGACCCACCGGCCATGTACTTCTGGTAGTCTCCGGCGTATTGGCCAACATAATCCTGGCCTCCTGGGCGCAACATCCCCTGTTTGACTGCCGTGAAGCAGAAGTAAACAGGTCAAACAAACGACCATGGCACAAACCCTTCCAATTGAACAATGAGAAAATCTGTCCAACAGTGATAGATTCCCTTTAAAACCAAAAGGCGAAACTCAGCAACACAGTTCATTTCAGAACATAAGAACTTGATCCGGGGCCGCATAGAATGGTCACATACCCGGAGAAGAGGACGTTGTCTCAAAATAGGAATCGGGGAATCGGAGATCCCTCTCCTTGGCCGGCCGCCAGCGGCAGCAGCAAGCTCAGCGTGAAGACGGCCATGGCGGTCGGTTTCAAAAGCGATTCTCACCGAGCCCAAAATTGACTGAGCCCGCCGCGGACATGTTAGGTGACCTGCTGGACAAAAATAGACGGCCCCGGGCATGTTCTCCTTCAGAATAATATGGCACCCTATAAATGCCATGTTGGTTGTTTATTGAACGTTGTTTGTCTCCTTGCTCGTGGTTGACATAACTGGTTGTTGATTGGACACCTCCATTTTGCTTTCTTGCTCATTGGAAAGCGGGCAAATTGTTATTCATTGCTCGTTTGCTCGTCCCGTTAAGCCCAGCTAGATAATAAATACCAATCTTGCTGTTCAAAATATGCTTTTCTCCTGCAGGAAAACAATGGAGCCCGGTCTCCTTTATGGAAACCCTTTTCAGACTGTCTCATGGGAAACCACAGAAAGTAGTTATATACCGCGGACCAACTCATCAGCAAAGGCGTCTTTGCTTTTGCCCAAAACTCTCCCAACACCCTTTTTGTTGTGGTATATTCTGGGAAAACCTGGTTTACCAGGATAAAAAGCCTCAAATTTGCGTATAGGGCCGACATCATACCCTAAAAACGCGGGTAGTCTTCAAGCCAGTCAGATCAAGGCCCAACGTGACACCCGCCAAATCTTCGCCCGAACACGTTTGGTGCAGAAACAAACACTATGGGTGCGGTCTACCAGAATCAAACACATAACCGTCATTTTGGAGGCGACCCAAACGAGAAGGCCCTTTAACTTTGATCCCCTCACTTCGGATCAAGTGGATTGGCCAAAAAGAGTAAGCAAGCTTTTTATTTGCCACTACTAGGTCCTCCAGTAGAGAGCTTAGAATCAGGGTACCCTGTTTTTCTGTAGTCTATTTGAGTAGGGGAACCCTCCCAACCAAAAAAGGGCTGAGAAAGGGCACAACCGGGAAACCTAGTCTTTCTGTACCAAAGTGGGCCGATCATTTCTTCTCAAGTCCGAAACGGACCTCAGGGCGCGAGCACCCACAGCTGCTGAAACGTGACCCAACTTCCCAGTTCAGAGCGCTTCCTTTTCCGGCATGGGCACCAACAAGGGAGCTTCGACCAGCTTGGGCGGCTCTCCTGCGTCGGTTTTCCGCTCAAAGTTGGAGGGTTTAGACTCCCAAAAGCAGACGCCCAATGGGGATGGGTCAAATTAAACCACCAAAGGACCGCAGGTTTAAGTGCATGTTTCCATTTACCGGGGTTCCATTTTGGGTATCTATTGTGACCCACAGCCATATTGTCAGTGGCTCCTGTGACATGCTCGTTTGCCCGATGAAGTATGATGGAAGCCACCAGAGCTCACCTACCATGTTCCTAACGAGCCTCTTTGAAGGCGAACTTGGAATGGCTCTCTTCTGTCCACCAGCCATCATGTTTATGGTTTCGGTTTGGCAAGCATCTCCTTCACATAAGGCCGTTTCAGGTATCGGCATTTTGCAGCATTGCAGCCGTCTTCTTTAGAGGTTTGGTTGTTCCACCATCCCCACTAGGTATGGCTCTTTTTGCATCCACCAGCCAGTAACACTTGGTTGAAGGTGCCGCCAAATTCAAAAAGTCCCCTGTATGGGTTTGTTGCCATGCTGCATTTGCTCCACGTGTTAGTAAACAATATCATATTTACCACAAACTGCTGAGCAAGTCCCTCTAAAACAACTGGAAATACCAACAACTTATTGAGCATATTGAAAGCGACGTGTGCTATAAAACGCCGCACCGTGTCTCCCAATGGTTTAGAAACCAACTGGCCCAGTTGCAAAATTGCATCCTGCAGCTCCAAATTCAATCTGCAAGAGGCGATGACGATAAGATGAGGCCTGTCACACAAACAAACCTACACTTATACCACGCAAATATTCCACACAACTCTTGACTCGCGGGATGGTAGCGGCCACTCAGAAATCTTCGTCCGCGAACAGGCAGTCCTACTGGTTCATAGGCAACTGTGACATGTTTAGTAAAACCGTAAACACTGGATTCAGCTCATTTTCGATGGTTCCCGAAGCCTCATCGGGCACATTGGAAGTAAATCAACTCACCAGTCTATGACATGAGGGACCGGTTGCATGGGTTTCGCCCCAACTCGTGAATTCGCCAGCGCCCCGGCATGCTGCAAGTGCGAAGCGTGCCGCACATGAAGTCTACTTGGTGTTTTCAAAGATAGCGGAACCCATCTGCAATCATAAAATCCTCCATTTGCATAGTCCCCTGGAAGAAACAACCATGTTTCCAGGAGTGGTAGATTCCCTTTAAAGCAAAATGGAACAACCAACACCTGAAATCAGGAAAAAACAACACTCGCTGACTGCGTGCCAGCCCGCCAAATCCAGCCCAACGCCCAACCAAGTCCAGGAACTTTTCCGACCCCATCGAAGTCCGGACACCAAACTCCAGACCGATCCCTGGGTCCCCTCCCTACGCCTGGCATGGCGACCAAAGGGGGCACCAAGGTAGGTGCCTCGCGAAAACAGAGAAGGCTCAATGGACAGCCAAGCTGTGTAGTGCAAGCTTGGAACAAAGCATTGCTAGGTCCTCCAGTAGAGAGGTTAGAATAAGGGTACCCCTTTTTCTGTAGTCTATTTTGGCAGGGGAACCCTCACCCAAAAAAAAAGGGTAAAAGGGCACTACTTGGGGACCTAGACTGTCCTCCATCAGCTCGCAAAATCCAAGACATCAATGATGCCAAGTAGGCGACTGATGCAGATGGCACTCGTGCAACGCATGTTCCATTCACTTGTCTTGGGCAGCATTGTTTCCTCCCAGACCAGATTGATGCTTGGAGGGGGTTTACACTAACTTTTCAACGCAGGGGGGAGGTAAACCCTGACTCTGAGCTGGCTTTCATGCTGACGGCGTTGAGCCAATTCAAGAAAGCAAGTGCTATACATTTGGCATGTGTATAGATGTCCCAAGCCCTCAACTTGCCCGACAAAAACTTAGACTTAGATAGCCTGTTAAGATGAAATCTGGCTTGCTTCTGTACTATTTTGCGCGGGTCGACAGGATACGCACCTTTGCCTGAGCAACAACTCCACACGCAATATAAGCAAGGCATTGCAAGAGCAGGGATAGGGGATGCATTTCACGTTTTGTGGGTGAGTCCCTGTTGGTGCGTCCCTCTGAGATCAAGGGTCAAAGCAAAGCACGATGCCATACACATACATCTATACACATACATATATACATGAATTATAAATATACTACACGATTTATCTTGGGCCTCTGGGGTGTCCAATGGAGGGTCTGGGTCTTCCATTGGAAGCCCCAGGAGCGTCTGTCTATGTAACTTACAACTCCATAGCATGACCCTCGATGTGCAACTAACAGGAACCAAGGGACCCACCATGGCCACCATGGGTTCACAGACCTGCAGCAGTTATCGGCCATTTTTGTGGGTAGGGGATTTCTAAAATGGGCCTTGCTTTAGGACATGGGAAAAAAGGTGGCAAGTTTGGGTTATATTGGGTCCATACACTTATTCTGATCACCGCCCTAACTCATTGGTTTATTCATCCTCGGAGGTTTTAGGATTGCACCATAGCAATCCCCTGGAAGATAACCACAAGGGATGGTTCACAAGAACCATCCCCTCATTCTCCGTTGACTCCGGATCCAAGTAGAAACCATCATATTAGTGGGGGGGACCCCCACATTTAACCGGCACATCCCCCGAACAAAATCCACCAGGCGGTCTGCTTACTAGGTCCTCCAGTAGAGGTTAGAATGAAGGTACCAACTTTTTCTGTAGTCTATTTTAGTAGGGGAACCCTCCCAACCAAAAAAGGGGGTGTGAGATGGTGTGAGAAAGGGCACCTAGTTGGGGGGACCTTCTGCTTAGATCCGGGGTTCCCGTTGCTGAGAACCAGCGAGTCAACACGCCGTGGTCCTTGCCTCCGCCTCGAAATGAACCACTTCCGCCTGAGCAATGCTCAGGGTGAGGTTCCGCCAACGGGCCAGCTCAGATCCCCCGCTAGTCTAACTTTGAGTTGTTTAAATGGAAACTACTAAACAAAACCAACGAAACATCTGAAAAACCGGTTGGCTGGGGAACCTCATCCAAAACTATCTAAAACATCTAAAACATCCCAAAACTGACTAGGGAACCGGTTGACTGGGCTTGCCACCAAGCCAAGGTGGCGAACTTCTGGGGCCGAGGAAGCTTCGCCAAGGCGGCCGAGTTTTTGCTTTTGTTGCGCCCGGACGAAGGCTGAGGTGCCATACTTCTGCTGCTCGAGGTGGGGACAACTCCATTGCCCCGTAAAAAAATAAAAAAAAATAAAAAAAAATGCCAAACATAAAAGGTTACCTTTTGGGACCCTGACGAAAAATGGACCAAACAGGGAAAACCAAAAGGCCCAAAACTCGATTCGCTTTGAGCAACTGAGATGACTCAAAGAATCCCGAGAGTCGGACATCCATAGCAAGCACTTCGCCCAGCAATCCCCGCCTGTGCTTCCTCTGCCTTGCTTGCCTGGGGTGCTCGAACTGGCCCAAGGTCGTGGGAAAATATGCTGCGCAAATGAACACATTGTCAAACCTCCTCTTCGTTCTGCTTGTGGCTCCCGAAAAAATGGGGAATCATCATACTGCCTAAAAACAAAAATCACCAGGTGGATGCCCACCCCGCTGAACCAAGCAAAATCACCGGCCCTGAGCCACGTTTCGCAGTGGAGCGTAGCCAGTGCGGCCCTGAAAAGCCCGGAGAACTCCTAAAACCCTGAGGCGCGGAAGCAGGTCGCCTTCTTGCTTGCCACGCCCGTCTTCCCGTGGCAAACATAGACCCAAACGCCAAAGCTCTGCCAAGGGATGGCAATTTGTTTCCAATGTGCTCCCAAGCTGGTCTTTATTCATTTACTTGAGGTGCCATGCGACAATGAATATTTGCCATATTTCAGCAGGGAAGCAAAACACACATTTCAGCAAGTGGAAGAATCCGATTGCCGCTCGAGTCGAAGAGCAAGCTGTTCAAAGCGGAGGGTTGGTCAATCCCTGAAACA